AATCACCAGGAGATGGGAGTTCTAGTCCCACCTCAGGCATGGAAACTAGCTGAGTGACCTTGGGCCAGTCCCTTTCTCCCAGTCCAACCCACCTCAAAGGATTGTTGTTGTGGGTCAAAATGGGAGGAGAAAGGAACACTAGGTATGTTCGCTGCCTTTATAAAGTACTTGCCGCTGTATAAAAAATAACTAAGCAAATATAACAAAAGAGATGATTGACAGAGAGGCCAAACCGAGGAAAGAGATCCATGGAAGAGGCAGAGAGAGAAGAAACTCTCGTGACTCCATCTCTGCTCACCCTCCAGGCTCAGCAGCGGATTGCGACATCCAATTTAAGGAACTGAAAACAAATTTTAGGAAAACCTGAGCTTTCGCTTTGCGAACTGTGAGGATGGAGAGATGCTTGGAGATGGCTATTCACTTTCTGCGCCAGCTTTCCTGAGTAGTTGGGATAGTTCATCTTTATCAAGAAGCAATAAGTGGACAGCCTGATATATTTCAGTTTTAATAAGATGTTGCTCCTTGTGCACACATCTCATCGAGCAATTAGTGTCAAAGGCATCTCCGCGATGGAGAGGACACACGGGGCTGTTTGCGAAGTTGGGAAATTTATGGGAGATGAAAACTGGGGCTTCAATGGAGCTGGAGAAAGCGGGGGGGGGGGGTCATCAGGGTGAGACCTTAAAATGGAGATAGCTTCATGTTTATAAAAGGTATAGGTAAACCTCTTGTCATTAAAAGAAGAAACAAACCAACATTTTCAAGTTGAAAGAAAGCTGCTCTCGAAAAGGAGACTAGAGTTGGAAGAGATCTTGGAGGTCTTGAGAGCCGAAGTGGTGCGGTGGTTAAATGCAGCACTGCAGGCTACTTCAGCTGACTCCAGTTCTGCAGTTCGGCTGTTCAAATCTCACCGGCTCAGGGTTGACTCAGCCTTCCNTTCTTCTTCTTCTTCTTCTTCTTCTTCTTCTTCTTCTTCTTCTTCTTCTTCTTCTTCTTCTTCTTTTTTTTTCCCTCCTTCTCCTTCTTCCACCTGCCCTCCTTCCCTCCTCCTGCTCCTTCTCATTCTTCTTCCTCCTCCTCTTCTTCTCTTCCTCGTCCTTCCACCTCCTCTCCTCTTTCCTTCTCCTTCTCCTCCTTCTTCTCTTCCTTCTTCTTCTTCTTCTTTCCTTCCTTTCTTCCCAAGGCATTCTCTTGGGCAGTCAGTGGCTGTCTTTGTAGAGCATGGTAAGCCCAAAAGATGTTTCGAACAACATATTGACCTTGGTTACTGAACTGATCCATATTCTGGATGCACACGCTACATTGGATCCCAAGGTGGCTTTGGTTTATCCAATGCATTACTTCTCACCAACATTAAGAATAACCGGATTTATGCACATTATGCAAAACAGGGAATCATTAATTATGAATAAAGTTGCATAAATAAAGCTAATGCATTTGGATTATTTTCTTGTACTTTGGGTTGTCAAAAGCCGGTCCATTTTGGTTCACTCAGCAGTCATGGTATAATCTGTTACTTAGCTTAATTTGGAAGATTTGGCAAAATCCAGTCCCGTGTTTTTAACTATCCATTCATTCCATTTTCATCACCAGATTTATCTGGATGCCGTGGAGTTTTCCTGGCAGAAAGGAACAGAGAACACAAAGGAAACAAACGGTGCTGCTGGTGTGATGAAACAGGCCTGGTTTGGGATCACAATGAATCACCTGGAATGCAATCAATATTATCTCCTCCAATGCAGTTTTAAGTTCTAGGTTTCTGTTTACAGAAAGATGGAGGGGAAAAAAGGGGGTCTGGATGCAGGTGTGGAAAGCAGCCTGGCATTGCTGTTGGATCTCCATGTTCCTTCGAAAAGGATGCATGCATTTCTCTGTGGGTAGAACCTCTGTGCATCTTTTTTCTCTCCCATAGAGCCTACCCACTCCTGCATGGCTCCATCATGCAAAAAAAAAAGTAATTGTGATTATGTTGTTGGGGGCACAATGAAAAGCTGGACCAATAAACAGGGAACTGGCACAGAGCCTGCAGCCAAACATGCCTGGCAGTGCCTCTGCCACTTCCAACAAGTTGCATTCTTCTGTGATATCTATCTGGAGCCAACATCTCCAATCCTTTCTCCATCTGTTTGAATGTGTTTGTATGAGAGAAGAGAGACAGAGAGGGAGAGGGAGGAAGAGAGGGAGAGGGAGACAGAGATAGAGACAGAGATAGAGAGAAAGAGAGAGNAGAAAGAAAACACATGGCTGGCAAGCCACTCCCACCAGGTCACATGGCCAGCAAGCCACTCCCACAAAGGAGGCCACACCCACAGAGTACGTTCCAAAATTTTTTGAAACCCACCACTGCTTGCATCCTTTTAGAGGGTCGCTGAACAGTGGTGGGCTTCACATTTTGTTACCTCCGTTTCACTATGCGATACCTTTCTGGGATTCGAACCTGGGTAGACCAGGTTGCCCTGATAGATCAGTCTCACCAGAAAAACAATCTTCCCCCTGGTTCAGTCAACAAAATGAGGAGAGCCTGTGGCCTAGAGGTTAATATATGTGCCTAACATGCAAGAGGCCCAGGATCGAATCCCAGAAGGGTATGACTAGCTAATGAGAGCTAAACAGCTCAAAATAGCTATACTAGCCTCCCTCTATTTCTTTGTCAGTAAATTTAAATTTAACACAAAATAGTTTGTCGTGGAAGCAACTGCCTGCGAAGGCTTCTGGATTGGTGCTGACAGGCGAAAGCGGAAGCAATATCCATCCCATGGGTAGACCAGGTTGACCTGATAGACTGGTCTCACTGGAAAAAACACTCCCTCTCAGGCAGTGGTAGGATTCAAATAATTTAACCATCAGTTCTCTGCCCTAATGATTTCTTCCAGCAACCAGTTTGCCAAACTACTTAGAAAGTTAACAACCGGTTCTCCCAAAGTGGTGTGAACTGGCTGAATCCCATCATTGCTCTCAGGCCTTAGTTTGGAGAACTGCTCCAGCAATGTTGAAGAAGTTCAAGAACCTGATGCCCAATTTCTTTTAGAGCTTGACCAGACAGAGTCGTTGACTTCACCTTCCACAGGAAACAGGGATTTGTTTTAAGAGATATTATGAAACCGTCCATAGCAACTATTTTCACACATTGGGGCAACTTACAATTACGATTGGACCAAGGCATGATCCTAGTCAGTGCTTCTCAGTCCCAAAATTTACGCTGGTGGTAATTCTTATCCCCAATAGTAAAAGGCAGGTTTGTGGTAGCTTTCTTGAGAAATGCTTTACACCTTACCAGCTGTCTCCCAGTAGTTACTGTGGGCCGCTGAATTTTAATAGTAATACATCTGAATTGGAATAGTCTTCATAATACCTCGTTGCTTGCTTGGCCAAGATGGATTTGATACTGACTCTGTATTTTCCATTTCCACACAATATATATTATTTATTCACTAGATTTATATTCTGTCTTTCCTCCAAGCTTTCAAGATGGCATATACGTAGTGTGAGGGTTGGAAATTCAGCCCTGTGTTTGATGAGGGGTGAATTGTGGTTTTCCTTGGAGTATACTCTATGATTAAGTAAAATAAACCCGAGGTATATTCTAAAAAAAAAACATATTTTTATTGTAAAATAAATAGCAAACAAACTTTCTGGCTAATAACTACATTCTGGTAAAGTTCCTAGCCTATCTCCTCATGGCAGGCAAAACAGAAAAAAGAAAGAGAAAGAAAGAAGGAATGGACATGCTCAGTAGGCTTACAGAGAAGAATCAGTCAACCGTATGTCTTAGAATATAAGCACAGCTGGCAAAACAAAAAAAACATCGTGACACGTAGCACACTCGTTTTGTTTTGTTTTCTTTTCATTCATGACAACAGCTCTGTGAGGTAGATAGGAATGGTGTTCCAAGATTGGTCTGAAGTCACCCAGTTACCTTCTGACCTTGTAGTTGAGACTCCTTCTTCCTAATAACATACCTTCACCTCTACATTACGACGACTCTCTGACTAAGCTGTCGTAAAAGGGGAATTATGATCAACAGCCAAATGGGGGCTAATAGGAACCCCGCAAATCACATCTGGAAATCACATCTGGGAGAAGAAAGGTCCCAGTGCAACTGAAGAATTAAATCAGCAGAACTGTTTGCTTTGCCAGACCAAAGCTCTTCCACTTGAGCAGAAGATACAGATGGGGGGTATCCTTGGTGCTCTCTGAGTTTGGTTCTTTTCTTGCAGATGTTTCATTACCCAAAATAGGTAACGTTATCAGTGCTAGGTGGTGGAGGAGGAGGATGGGGGAAGGCAGAGGAGGAGAACGGGGAGAAGAAGGTTGACTATGGGGTCCTTGGTGCTCTCCCAGCTTGATTGTTTTCTTGAAGATGTTTCATTACCCAAACTAGGTAACATCATCAGTACTAGGAGGAGGAGGAGGAGGAGGAGGACAGTGAGGTCCTTGGTGCTCTCTGAGCTTGGTTGTTTTCTTGCAGATATTTCATTACTCAAACTAAATAACGTCATCTGTGCTAGGAGGAGGAGGAGGGGAGGAAGAGGAAGAGGAGGAGGAGGACTATGGGGTCCTTGGTGCTCTCTGAGCTTGGTTGTTTTCTTGAAGATATTTCATTNCTCCCTTCCTCCCTCCCTCCCTTCTCCCTCCCTATTTTCCTTCCTTCCTTCCTGGTCTTCTTTACCCACCATCTCTTCCACTTCTGTCACTTCTTTGAGAAGCTCTGCTCGGAGGGGTAAGTGGTGGTGGTGGTGGGGGCAGATTTTGGCAAGGGAGAGCAGAGCACAGGGAGGCCATCAAAGGAGCAGTTGGCTGCCTTGAGTTGAACTTTCCGTGGTGTCCAAAAACCTTCCAACAACTCGGGTGTCACTCAGGAGGTTGGAACCAATGAATGCCTAGTAGGAGGTCTACTCAGCTTCCTTTGCACCAGCCTGGTGATGCCCGGCTAAGGTTTCTCCAGCTAGTCTGTTCTGTGCAGGGTGGAAAGAGAGGGAGAGGGGAAAGAGAGAGAGAGAGAGGAGGGGGGGAGGAAAAAGCAGACACATTGCCTGTCCCCCATCCCTCTCTTTCGCTCCTTCTAGCTCCCGAACTAGCTCGCGCTCCCTCCCTCTGAAAACCTTGGATTTAAACCTACTCAGAATTCAGCACGGAGGAAAGCAGCCAGCCCGGCAGCTCCAGACAACTGCAGCTCGGCACCCTCCCACCTCCCCCCTTCCCCAAAGATGTATCAGCCTGTCTGCTGGATCGTCTTCACGGCCACCACTGCCCTGCTCTTCCTTCCAGGTATGTCACGCAGAGAGGGGGAGCCTCCACCCGTGGACCTCTCCAGGGGATGGGCAAACACCCCCCCACCACCAAAAACCTGATGCCAGCCAGGAGTGATGCGAAAGGAAACGCTTTAGGCTGTGCGGAGGGTCTGGACGTGAGGCTCTCTCTCGCTCAGATGTGTGCGTGATGACAACTAAATTGGGGAGAGGGGGGTGGTGGAGGAAGGCATCACCCGCGAGAGATGGCCAGTTCTGGTGCCTGGCAATGGTTTTAGAGACAGCTGATTTCTTCTGCAGAGGTTCTGTTTTGAGGAGCCGGTGGTGATGAGGGTCCATCACCCTTGGTGGCTTTGGACAGCCCCAGCTGCTCCTAGGTAGCCCCGAGGAAGAGAAGGTGCTCCTTCTTGGATTTATGCTTTCCAGTCACACGCTGGGTGTGTGGGTGTGCAAAGAGAGGATTTGGGGTGGGGGTGGGGAGTCCCTCCCCATCCCACCTCTGCTCTCTGCTCTCTCTCTCCCCCTTCTTCTCCCTCCTGTTTCAACACCGTTTTTCCTAGCCTGTTTTCTCTAAGTTCAGACCTCCCCCATCCCTCTTCCATATTCTCTTCTCTTGCACCCCAATAGTAAAGAATGCTTCCTCGAGGGATGTCCAAATATTTGGCTTTTTGATGCAGTGATGACAGCAGAAGGGGAAGGGGTGTGCAGTCCACCCATCTCCAAACTAGTCCAAGAATGGATGGACAAAGGGTTTGAAACCCGTCTGGAATTCAGAGGCTGCAATCTCCAAAATCCAGACTCAGGGTGCTTTGAGTTTTCCTTGCCCTTAAAGAGAAGTCCTCCTTCCTTTTTGCTGCAAAGTGGGCTCTGAATCGCTATATTGTTAACTCGTCTCCAACTGGCCGTCTTTTAAGAGTTACCACAGACAGGCAGGCAGTGTGCGGAGCTGAATGCACCCCGGTACATCTGTCCCGGTATCAAAATGAGTGGGTGGGTGGACTGGAGTGGGGAGGGGGAGCGGTGGTTGTGAGCCAAAAGGTCGAACCGAAGGAAGGATTTGCATTTGTTTTTGGGTTTGAGCTTGGTGGTGGGTTTGAAGGGATGCCTCTCCAGGACTTTGGAACTGATATATAGATCTTGCATAGACCTTTCCCCTGTTTTCTTTGCCTTAGCAATAGGAAACTCAATATCTGTTGCGTTTTGGAGACAGGAGCATAGACATCTGTCTCAATGTCATATGGCTTCTCAGAGGCCAAAGTGGGCACCAGTGTTTGAGGCCCTTGAAGCAACGTGTGACATGGAGTTTGGACCGTAGGCAAGGGGACACCTGCGGGTGATACGGTTTCCCACGCGAGTGTGTAAAGGAGGAGAGGACGGATTGATGTAAAAGCAGATTAGAGCAAAATGAAAAAATAAAATAAAAAAGAGGAACTTTTTCTGTAGGTTGAGACCCCACAGGCAGGAAGATTTCAGGAAGGGGAAAAAATAAAAAACCAAGAGTGGAACAGGCATATATTTTCTATTCTAAGTCATCCTGTCTACCATTGGAGAAAATTGTTGCTCAGCACTTAAGTGCCAAGGGAGAGAGGATGGGAAAATACACAACTTTTTTGGGTGTCAGGGGCTCTTCCAATTTTTCAACTGGCTAAACAGCTCAACTCTTGCAGAATAGAATATTGTTTATAACGTATTCCCCTCTTGAAGTCTTGATCGCAAGCTGTTTTCCTAAGCCAGGGTGACCTTTTTTAAAAACAACAACAACAACAACAACAACAACCACACAAACAGTCCTGTAAGGTTTAAGGTTTAGAAAGTAAATGAAATTCGGTGACCATCCAAGTACAGATGAGAACTCTGTCTTAGGAGAATCTTCCCCACCCACCCCAATTTTAAGCCACAATTATTTAGAAGGGGGGGGGTTTGTTCTCTCTGGGTGAAGAAAATGCAATTTGCTGTTTTTAGGATCCTGGGAAATAATACAAAAATAAATGAATTGGTTGAGACTCGCTCTTTCAGTTCTGTTTTCTGCCCAGGATTACATATAATTTCATGGATTACCTACGTGTGGTTATGCACCTTGGAGTCTGGGGTTCAACTCGTTTTCGTTAGCATGTTGGCCAAGAATGAAAAGAAGTTTCGCCTGGCATTTGCTGTATTGATGTGTTTAAAATCTCTGATTTGGAAATCTGCTGGTTTAAATCTTGTTTCAGCCAAGGATTCAGCTGCATCTCTTCCCTCTATAAAGGGAAGGTGATACTAAATTAGTAGTCTACTCTGCAGGGATGTTAGTCAGGATCACTGTATTACTGATACCCTTGGAATAGATGCAAACTTGCCAATGGAGCATTCTTGTCAATGCCAACCTCTAATATGAAACTGTTTTATTAGGTGAGTGGAGTTATTAGGAGAGCTAACTCTTACTTAGGGCCAATTTAGAAGAGTGTACTATCCAGAGGAACGTGGTGGCTCAGTGGCTAAGATGCTGTGTTTGTCGATCAGAAAGGTCGGCAGTGCAGCAGTTCGAATCCCTAGCGCCACGAGTGAGCTCCCGTTACTTGTCCCAGCTTTTGCCAACCTAGCAGTTTGAAAGCACATAAAAATGCAAGTAAAAAAATAGGAACCACCTCTGGTGGGAAGGTAACAGCGTTCCGTGTGCCTTCGGTGTTTAGTCATGCTAGCCACATGACCACGGAGAATGTCTTCGGACAGCGCTGGCTCTTCGGCTTTGAAACGGAGATGAGCACTGCCCCCTAGAGTCAGGAACGACTAGCACATATGTGCGAGGGGAGCCTTTACCTTATTATCCAGAGAACCTGTTCTGAGTCACTTCTTCTGCCCCCTGGTGCCATCTAGGTGCAATAAATGTATGTTCCCTAAATTCACAATATGTTCAGTAGGAAAGTGCTAGATTGGAGAAAAAAGACTTCTTTGAGTTGTGAAATTCCCGTAGGGTATCCAGTCATCGATCTTTCCTTTTTTCTTAAGTCACATCTGGACGATTGGTGGAGGGGAATGAAATAAAAAAGCAAATAGATGTTTTTTTTTAAATTTAAAACAAAAGAATGAAGGGAATCTGACATTTCAGATAGAAAATTCCATCACAAAATGATTGTTAACCTTAACGGCATTCTTTGTGGTTTTCCTTCCCCTTGTCATTCCTTGGTTATTAATTATCTTTCTTCACTGTTTGGGGGATATTTTTAACTCCCCTCTTTCGTTCAAAAGAACCTCATCTTTTTTTCTCTTTTAGATTCATCAGAATCTAAAAACCTGAAAGGTTAATGTAATAACGAAACCTTTGATCACAGAAAGCATCTTACACTGCAGGTTTGGGAAGGCGGAGGGGATTCTGTCGTGAGAAAATCGGAGGTTAAATCTTGAGGAATCGTTCCATGAAAGGGATGGCTATAGCCAAGAGATTTTTCGAGACAAAATCTGTCTGGTGGCAGGAGAGGGAAGGAAGCATGTGGGAAGAACAGCAAGGCTTTGAGAACAAGGCAGAAATCTGAACGGCTGAGAATTAATCCTTATAATTCCCAGGAAATGACTTTTGTGCAACTACTGCTCTTGTTTTATCCCTCCGGTCCTGTATGTTTGCGAGATAAACCCTGTCAAGACAGGGATGTTGTTGTCAAGTTCTTGTATTTGGAAAAGATGAGATGGTTGGTTGAGGATATGAGATGACAACATCTGCAGCAATCTGGCTGTCAATGGTGAAATTGCTTCAAGGAACATAGATATACCTAGTGATACATTTTGGTGAATTCTGACTTCCATATTTATAGACTGAAGAAGTTGCGGTGATGTGCAGTGACTTCAGATCTCCTCCAAATGTGACATCCTCCACCAAGGAAGTCCTACCAAGTGGGACACTCAGGGAAGAGGTGGGTTCCTACCAGTTCACACCAGTTCAGTAGAACCGGTTCATCAAATCTACCCGAACCGGTTAGAAGAGGTTCCACCAGTGGACCCGGAAAGCAGGCCACACCTACAGAAGGGGTTCCAAAATTTTTTGAAACCCACCACTGACACACACACACATACACACACACACACACACACACACACACACAGACTCACACACAGAGAGAAAGAGAAAGAGAAAGGAAGAAAGAAATNCTCTCTGCCTCTGATGCAGAGCCCTCATCTGAGCTTTCCCCAGACTCCAGTACTGGCCCATGTTCCTCCCCAACCTCTGCATTGTCCAACTCTACTGCCAGCTCTGCAGACCACAACAGGAAGGATGGATTTTCTGCTTCTACCAACTCATGAGACTATGGACAACCATAGATCTCTGTGTATCAGAGCTCAACAAACTAAATTAGAAAGACTGGGCCATGGAGATTGCCCATGCTTTTGGTTCTCCAACTGTGCTCGAGATCATCAGGTTCCTCTAACAGGACTCCTGTTAGGTCCAGCTGTTTTTCTTCATGAGAGACCTTTTTCTCCTGGGCTCACAAATAGGTATGATACCCATGGGAATCTTCTTTGGGGTTTATTGTATTTTCCCCTTCAGTTCTAGTGCATCTGTGATAATCCATCAGGTTTGGCTGAGAGGCTGACAAATCCACAGGGATGAGGTCAGATGAAAAGAGATGGGGCCACCATGAACCAAACTCATCACATTTTGTCCCCCACAAATTCTAGCAATGATACCCCAAAAGGACACATCTCATTACTGCTCTCCATCTCTACTTAATGATCTGAGCAACATGTAGACTTTCAGATGATGTTGGATTGCAGCTCTCATCACCCCTTATCAGGGACCACCATGACTAAGATTGATGATCAAAGAAGTCAGTGAAGCTTAGAAGGTCATCTACTGACTCCACCTTGATGTCCAGGACTTTTTAGATTTGTGTTGTCCTTGATGCTCTCTGAGCTTGGTTGTTTATTTCCAGAAGTTAGTGAGGAAAAGCACTGGTAGCACAGTAGTTAGAATGCAGTATTACATGCAAACTCTGTCCACAGCAAGCAGTTCGATCCTGACTGGTTCAAGGTTGATTTAGCCTTTCATCCTTCCGAGGTTAATAAAATGAGGACCCAGATGGTTGGGGGCAGGATGCTGACTCTTAGGGCTGTGAAGCATTCTGAAGAGGTATGTAAGTCTAAGCACTATTACTATTGCTATTGGATTAAATTCATTTCTTTCCTACATAGCAATAGCAATAGCAATAGCTATTAACCATGCTTGGTTAATGATGGAGCTACCATCACTTAATAGCAGAGTACTGGTAACTCTTGTACCCTTACAATAGTTAACTTGCCTTATTTGGAAACTTCTGGCTGGCCTCACATATTAGGCAAGTGAGCCCATTCACAGTGTTTATGAGTTTTTATATGATACAAATGTTCTGAGCAAGGTGATTAATCAACTTATTATGGATCCTTCTCTCTCTCTCTCTCTCTCTCTCTCTCTCTCTCTCTCTCT